ACAAGAGTTAAATTACTACAAGCACACTTACAGATATATTGATGACCTTATTACAATTAATAATTTTAGTGAAATTGAACACTCCGAGATTTATCCAAATTGTCTTACACTTAATAAAACTAATAATTCACAAAATAGCATAGATCACAAATAGCTATCTAGATCTCAATTTCAATACTAACAAATTAATAAATTGGAATTCCAACATATCCAAAAAGTAATTAACAATACAATAATAAATAAAATAAAACGAATTAAAAATATCTGCACAGATACAATAGATCTACAATGTGAAATTTTGCTCCTTATTAAAATTCTCAAAAATAATCTAATACCCATTCAATTTATTAACCATTGCCTTAAAAGAGCAGGCATTAAATACTCACTAAAGTGAAAACAAAAGAGGCAAAACCACATAATTAAAAAAAAAAATTCTATTACAATTTCAAAATGAAAAGGTGAAATGAAAAACGTAAAGCATTAAAGAGAGAGCTTAAGTAGAAATGAAATTACATAGAAAACAGCCATGAAATGGAAAAAATTCGATTTACTTATTCTGAATGCTACAAGGAATGAAATCTTAAAATTTGATGCTCTGAAGGTTTGCCATAAAACATTGTAAAAAAAGGTTACCAAAGCGAAAACATACATGTTAAGCAAACAGCAGCTCAAGCTATAAATTGAAGTGTTCTTCCTTGTGAGCGGGTGCATTCTTCTAAGTCGGAAGAAAGGGCGAGAAAAAACTAAGAAATTAATCCTCTGTATCAGTTGGACAGAGTCTAAAAAGGCGACTTGTAGAGAAAGAAATTCAAAATGGCTAGTTCAAACTTATAATTTTGGCCAGAAAGTAATGAAAAAGGAAATGATACAATTGTTAGAATAGCCGTAATTCTTCATGTTTCTTCAGCTGCAAAAATGTCTGTTGAAAATTAAAATGGCTCCTTGATTAAGAAAGGATAGATAGCCAGTAAATTACTGTAAAATTAATTGATACAAATTAATTTACTGAAAGAACTGTAGTATACATATCTACATGAATACTCTTGTGTTAGTCATCCATCATTTACCTCCTAAAAAGGTTTAAGTAAATGATATCATATCACTTTTACAAGTAATTCAAAGATTAAGGTATATACCAGCTTTTTTTAGGGTTGTGTGATGACCTGTCTTGGAATTTGATTTTCTAGTTGAATTTGAATTAAGTACTGAATCTCTTCTTCGAGGAATTTTCTAATATTACTAATTTTTTTTTTATTCTGCATAAATGTGCATTTATTGTGTTAATTAAAACTGTTTTACAAATGTTAGAGGTCCAATAAGTAAGCTTAAGAGAGTGAAATTTGAATTCTCTTCTTTTATCGTAAATTTTAATTTTAGTGTAATTTAAGATATTCAAGTCTATGTAAACTATGTCATTTTGTTGGGAGTAGTCTTGTTGAACTTTAGGCAGGAAGGATAGGTCTTGGCTGGTTCGATTTTATCAAAGTTATTAAATGTAATAATGTCTATATACCTGTCTATATACACATTTGTAAAAAATTTTTTCTGTTGATTATTCAATAAAATCTGAAAGTTGTACTCTTGCGTGAAAAGGAAAAGATTTCACATAGCAGTTGAGAAGCCTGTGCTCATCGGCAATCCTTTAACCTGCTTGAAGTATTTATTATTAAAATTGATATAATTATTAATGATTGTAACTTGTAGGAAATGTTTCCATTTTTCTCTGGAGATGTTTAAAACCTGCGGAAAGAGATCTGGGAGGGTTAGTAGGCTATTGTAAATTTCTTTGAGAGGCAGAGATGTGTGGTGTATTTAATTATGGCAAAGCACACTAGGGCTATCTGCCTAAGGGGAGGGATGCCTTCATGGAGGACTTTCTAAGGGAAACTGGCTCGTATACACGTTACACATGGGGAAAACCACGAAAACACCCATGCAGCCAGCCCATTCGCGGGATTAGAACCTCTGACCGAACTAGCAGTGTTCAGAGACTTTACCGCTTGGCCGCTGGTGGGCTGAGAGGCAGAGAGGTGTATAAATTTTCAAAATCATACATAATGATATGTTCTATTTTGAGTCTGAAGTGTATCTAATATCTTCTTATCATTATAAATAATCCAATTAAAGTTGTGTTCTTCAAATTCAAAGTTATGTAGAATTTCAAGAACTTGTTTGAGTATTTTGGCAAAGACAAAATCTATTTCTTTTAAATAGTTTCTGGTACTATTTGCGATGAAACAGAATTTAATTGGTTTTTTGTGAAATTTGGGGAGAGTGTACAGGTTAGCAAACCTGTTAGGACGTATTTTAAGTTTTTTATGCAGTGCTCTGAATCTTTTTAGAACATCATTATTACTGATGTTTAAGAGCTGGTAGGTGTTGGCGTTATGGAGCTCATTATTAATTAGACTCTAGTAAAATTTTTACAAATGATACTAAAGTTATTACTTGCTTTCTCAATTTTTGTGACGATAAATTTATCTTTCAACTGCTGAATTTGATCAAAGAGTTTGTGTTTGACATGCACCTGTATAAAAGAAGGTCTTTCGTAAATTCTTCTTTTAAATTCTTGAACTATTGCATTTTTCCATCCTAGGAAGGTGGAAGGGAGCGACTGGTTCGCTAACTTGTTAAAACTATGAATGTATTTAGAGCCTTAATAAACTGTTGTATACTGGAAGTCTTGCTCAGATGGAAAGTTGGCTGAAATTTACTACCATATTTCAAAATCTCCTGTAATTCTGTATCTTGTACAATTTCAAGATCTCCAATAATTATATAATGGTGAAAGGGTTATATGATGGTTAAGCTCTCTTTCTAAGGAATTACCTTTTTCGTTTCACTTTTTCATTTTGAAATTGTAAAAGAAATTTTTTCCAGGTCGACTTCTCTTTTATCTGAAGCCACTTCTACTCTTATTACAGGTAGTAATTCAAATTGTTCTTTTTATTAGCATTCCCTTACATAAACTCGGACTATTTTATTTACATTTTTCTTTATTGTTTTTCAACACAGTTTTTCGATACACTCCTTTTTTAAGTTGTTTTACAGGACCGTCTCTTTAAATTCTTTAACAGAGACTAAGTTGAATTTTTCTGTTTTTGTTTTTTGCATTGTAAAAAATTTCTATTTACATGTAATATGTAACAGTTGTGTATGTAATATGTAACAGTTTTTATGTGTGTCACTGTATGCACATTAAATATTTATTTTTTTGTGTAAGAAAGCTAAGACAAATAGGGAAAAAGAGACAATTTAATGAGATTTATTTTTCTTCTAATTATTTGACAAATATATTAAATTTGCATTTACAAGTCTCATTACATTTCGGAAGGAAATTTGTCTTGGCCCTTTAATTGACCAAGTATGGAACTTCAAAGCATTTTCTCTTGACAAGTTCTATTACGAAGCTCCAGACAGGGGAGATTAAAACATTTTTTGCATATTTTTTTTACACCATTACTTCCCTTGTTTACTTTCTTGTTCCATAGTTGTTTTAGCATTTTAGTTTTTATTTCTTCTTTCACATCAGTGTCCCTTTTTACTTCCTTGTACGAAGTAAAAAGGAAGTATTGTAATTGCGAAAAGTTTCAGGCAGCATATTTCAACGAAAATATCCATTTTGACCGCTATCGATAGCAATTTAACGATGTTTTTTCGTGATATCTGTACGTAAGGACAGAATAAAATACTCTTTTCCTTCAAAAAAGTTATAAAACTGCTTTAAAATTAATTCTGAAGAAATTTTTCGTCGCGTCTGTACGAATGTACGTACATACGTATCTCGCATAACTCAAAAACGAGTAGCCTCAGAACGTTGAAATTTTGTATATGGGACTGCTATAACATGTAGATGTGCACCTCGTATTTTGATTGCAATCGGCCACATCAAATGTATATAAATATATTTATATATATATCCACTCTGTTACCCAGCTCAGTGATCTCAGTTTCTTTACTCTTATATCTTTGTAAATTGTACATTTTTTGCTTTAAAAATGATTGTATTATATTGTTTTTATCTTCCAGTTAAGGTTTTTATGCCTTTAGTAAATCTGTATGCAATATTTTTAGAATTATCAACAATTTTAAAAATGTCTAAGTGCCGCTATGCCTTTTTTTATGCCGGCCATTGATGTTTACATTTGAAACAGGAGACTAATTAATTGAATGAGAAATACTCAATCGTCTGTGAAAAACTGTTTCTTTTTTGTTTTGTTTGCTTAATTTCTTTTACACATCATTCTAGCTTTATTATAGTATTTGAATAGAACATGTGGCAACGATTAGATAATTCTATTCTTTAAATGATGTAAATTTTGTGCATTATGAGTTATAATATGAACGAAATATATAAGTTAAATGTTATATAATTATTGGATTATATAACAGTTAACTTAATTTCTGTTATATAATTATTATACAAGTTAACTGTTATATAATTATTAATACTGTTAAGTGAATCTAGTGCCAGAGTGTCGCTATGGTAAACAAATACTAGAGTGAATTTTAAAGAATGCATTTATTCTATTGTGGTTTATGCGCTGTCGGCGAAGTAGATTTAATTCAATCCAATAAGTAAACGAAATGCAAGAAAAAATGTGAATAATTTAATATTCCGTACAAGGAAGTCATGTGGTGTACACATCAGGTTTTCTTCTTACGTTTTTGCTTTTATGTAGTTCATATATTAGTTTATTTGCTAAAATTCGGGTCTGATTACCGATAGTTAGCTTTTTTAATGTTTATAAACTCTTAAACCAAAATTCTAGCAGTTATATTGGTTATTAATGTATCGTTATTTCACATCTTAAAATGGCTCTTCTTGTATTTGCATTAACCTGTGATCTTGAAATTTTAGATTTTGAAATTTTAGAAAACAAATGCAATGCCAAAATTTCATTACGTTAATTTTTTCTTTGCGTTCCATGTGTATATATATATATAGATACACATACACATATATATATCAACCTTCTACATATAAAATTAATACTTACTACTTGATAATGACTTTGTAGCTTCATTACTCTTAATTTTTTCAACTATTAATCTATCACCATGTTTAAGAGGTAGCATTTGATTTGTATCACAGGAGGCTTGAAGATCTTTTGGTGGAAAGCCCCATTTTATTCGCTGACTTGCTACAGGAATATGAAACTCTTTCATGATCCATTCTTGAAGTTCATGATAAGATATACCCTTCTCACTTAGTGTGAGATTTGCCTAAAATGTAACAAAAATGTTTATCACTAAAGAACAAAATAAAGCCAGTTAATCAATAAATCACTTACGTGACTACTGCTAATATTTTAAAGACTAATGACATCATACTACCTACTTTCCCAATTTCTAAAATTGTTTAAAAAACTACATGGTTTAAAACATTTATTTTCAAAGGGAAAGAAATGAAATATATGCAAATTGCTGTTTATTCAATTTTATTGTGTACATGATATGAAAGAGGCCAAAATGAAAGTAAATAAATCAGAAATCACAAAAATAATGCTCTTGGAAAGGGGTGGGGGAAAAACAAAAAAAGGGAAAAATACAATAAAAGAAATGAATTCAAGGTTAGTAGCTTCAAAATGCATCAAAAAGAACCGTACTTAACTTTATAAATGTTGTTTTTACCATAAAAAAATATCAAGTCAGAATATTATTCTTAATCTTGTTGTGAAAAAGAATGTTCTTAATAGACTTGAAAACTTTTTTTTTAATTACATATCACACACCTACTGCATAACTGTTGCATCTTTCCATTAAAATTGCAGCTTAATATCCAACAAAAAATATATTTAAATTACCTTCAAGAATGAAAAAGAAATGATCATGCACATACAGATGAAATGCATTGTAATCAAAAGTATCCAGACACCTTAACACGTAGGTTTACCTGCAAATACGTTAAGTAAACATGGTGCAAGTCTCCCTTTTTCTGCGATAATGACCTATTATGAAGGCTTTTCCCTTATTTTTGGAATGCTGCAGCCAGAAATGAATGCCATTCTTGCAAACGAGGGTCTATCATCAGAGATTCATGATTAGTTTAGTCATCAATGAAGTACAGTATGGCTTGCCACACAGATGTAATGGCAATTCCCCTTATGGGTGTTCAGTAGCATTAAAGTCAAGGCTCTGAGTAGATCCACCTCATTTTCTAACAATTATGTCAGCAAACAACATACATATAATATATGGAGTACAGTTGAGTAAAATCCTCATAAATTGGAATGGACCTTATTTAATTGTTGCAATATTTATGGGGCAGAGCAAAATTATCCAAAATACTGAGAACAGGACTCTACATTCAAAGCTTTCTTCATATGCACCATGAAGCTGAATTTGAACCAAAAGAAACCATCCCAGATTACTATGCTTCTACAACCAAATTTTATTTTAGACAAATCACCTGGTATTTTTTCACACTTAGGCAGACTCATCAGATTACCAATTATTGTAGCAAAGTACATCATTCCACAGCACATATCACCACTGCCCAAAGATTTACTGCCATTGAGTTTTATACTATACTAAGCAATACCTGTTATTGGTCATATTAATGCTCATTTTATGTGGTGGTTCATACATGAAACACAAAAATTCAGAGCAACAAATAAAATGTCATTGTTCCAGTTTACATCTAGAAGCATCTTGGAATTTGGCAAATACGTTTTCTCCTATTCAGTACCTATTTCATTAGAGCCATAGTCAACCAAGTTGTGCTTGCATCACCATAGTTTTCTTACTTCACAACAATAATTTTTGAAATAAAATGGAAAACATGTAAAATTATTTTACTAATGGACTTTCCATTGAATGTAATACCCAATCACTTTATATCACATTTGAAATCGGTTTCCTTTCCTTTTTCACTTTCGCAGTGCCTAGATACCTTCATTCACACGAAATTAAACAAAATCATTATGAAATAAAAGAAAAAAAAAATAATCTTCAAGTCTCATAATGAAACTCATAAATTTCAATCCAAAATGAATTCAGATTAAAATGACAAACATAAGTAATAATAACAAAAACAGTAATAATAATACTTGTTTCCCATCTGATGACACAACTTTAACATACTGTGGCTGACAAGCTACTGAACTGGATTCTACTGCATTCAAAGAAGTAGACACCTCCTGAAATTTTAAACAAAATTTATTATTTAAATTAAGATGAAGAAATCAAATAAATATTTATATTTAAAACATAACCTATGTCATACAATTCTGGGATATTTTGTCTTCTCCTCTTTCACGACATGGCTTTCGTCTTCCTTCTTTACAGCCACAGAACAGGCCAATACAGTAGCATTTTTATGATCTAAAGGTTTACTTAACTGTTTCAGAATTTGTTCCTTTACAGCAGCTAACAGTTCAGAGCAATATTCTTGACCTTCATAGAAAAGAAATCAAATTCTGTATTACAATTTTATTAAAGTAAAATGTTTGTGTTATATTATTAAAATAATTTATACCTGTTAAAACACAATATAAATAACAGAATTCTTTTTTGTCATTTTTACATAATTACAAAAAAAGTTATACAAAACAATCTGAAAATTTTAAAGCATTTTTGATTATTACATTTTTTAATAAGCATAACGAAACCCAAAACATCATCAAATATTGTTATTGTTGGCTCCATGACAAAATTATAAAACTGTTCTTTTTTTACACCTGAAAGAAGACATACTGTTTTCTCTTATTACATAAAATTAAAACTGGAAGAACAAAAAGTGTCTAGAAGCAGCACTGTGCTAAATTCAAGAGCTTTGTTTTATCTTCTATGCACCCTCATACAAAGTGAATTCTCAGAGTGTTACAATTTTCCGTAAAGTCTTTAGTTCTTCTTTCAAATTTAATTAGTCTAATTATTCGTTGACAAATTGAGGGATTCATAAGAAATGTGCTACTACTACACAGGACAAAATAGTTTATTTATCTTACACACACATCAACCACATCATCACAGAGAGTCGACAGGATCATTAAAACCTACGTCTCTAATGGATTTCGAGTAAAAGTATCACTGCAAGTTCCCAAAAGTTTATCATCCCAAATGTGTTGATTTTGTGTGCAGTTACTATCAGTGACTGACTGTCTGCTTCATTACAGTGTCTATGTAATCAAAATTCTTGCACTTCATTGTATACTTATAATTTACATTTTTACCCCCATCAATATTTCTATGTCCCCAGTGTTCCTACATCATTTCCTCTAAATTTGTTTTCATTATACAGTGTTTGAAGTGAGGGATTTGAAAGTCTACTGCCAAATGATTCCAATTAAGTTAATAATTTTGTTTCATATTTTATATTTTACATAAAAAAAGTACCAAAGACATTCAACACTTCTTTCTACCAAAATATTTTGCTAGCATAATGACACGAAAGACAAAAAAATTTAATATACAATAACCCATTTATATTGAAGTAGTATTATATAATAAAGAAACAGATCACCTGGAAAATGTTTTCGTATGAAATTGGTTGCTAACCGTGATATACAATCAAGTAATCCTTGACCCGATATACCTTGAAATTCTCTCCATGAGATAGCATCTTGAACAGAAACGTCATTCCACTGCACTTTTATATTTATCCTGAAATTATATTAGTCATTTAATTCTTGAAACATCATAACACATTCTGTAAAAGCATAACATGCTGGATATTCAATATTAAAAAGTTTAATGTTCAATAGTTTCTTGAAATTTAAAGTATAAATAAGATTGCTACGCAGGCAATGGCTGTTTTTAACCAACATCACTTGAAGGGGGGGGGGAAATAGCAGCACAAAATACACACTCATTCTTTAAGTTACATTCATAATTCTTACTGTAAAACTATTTTGTGAAAAACAGCAGTTAACCATTTCTCAATCATCAATTTATCTTTCCTCATCAATCTTTATTATGTATTTAACTATATGATTACTAAATACTCACTTTTTTAACCCTCCGTGTATGGCTCCTACGATTTCCACGGGATACAAGATCCGTCTCTTAATATGGGTCATGTGAAAATAGCGTGCGCAAGTATGTTTTTTAAAATTAAGAAAAAACTATTAAAATTTCTGCATTATACTAATTTTTTTTATAAAGATGTGAATAGTAATATATGAAGATAGAGAATAGACTCAGAATATGTCCAAATTGCACCATACGCGGAGGGTTAAAACCTACAGTTTTTGACTTTTTGATTAATTTTATAAGTTGAAACTTTTAAGTTCATACATACATAGCAGAAAATGGAAAAATTTAATTTTATATTTAATACATTTTTGTACTAAAGTTTCTATAAAGAAACTGTAAAGACAATAAACTTCTCATAGTTTTTAAAATAACTATGAGACAATAAACTTCTTATAGTTTTTAGTTTACTTCACTAAGCGTCCTTTTTTCCCCCCCTCACAAATCATAACTGCGAAGGACTTGATTATAAAGGAGCATGTAAACTGATAAAAAATTTAGGGGGGGACTGAAATATCTGGGTGATGTAGTTATTATATTATTATATATAACTACATTGTTACATTAAAGCTAATATCTTTTGGAAATGAATCTATTTTTTTAATGTAAAAATCATGAGGCTGTCGTAGAAGCTTACTACAGAAATATTATGTAATGATAAAAAATATTTGCCATTTGAGGCATGTCAAAATGAATACTTGCCCAGCAGGCTTCTTAAACTGCTTCTGCATGTGGTCACTAACATATTTTTCAAGAATTACTGTACAAATGTAAATGACTCATTGTCCAAATAAGGTAGAAAGAAAAGAAAAATTCAAACTTTTAATGATGAAAAAAGATTAATTTAAATCTTGTTTTGAGAAACTTCATTTTTATACATTGCATAAAAATTTAATTGCAATAGTATAAAATACCGATTCCTGTTACAGCACAAAACTTTATTGAAAATTTGTTATTTATTGTTAATTTATATGAAAAATCTAGAATTTGAATGTAATAAAAGTAAGCATATTTTGATAATGTTACTAAACAATTTGGTAAAATGACAGCAGAGGAAAATTTATTTAAAAAATTGTGAATTTCATTATGGGAGGAGCAAGGAATGGAGTGCTAATGCAAGAAACGTATGCTATCCTATCATGTCATAGCACTTTTTCCTTATTTAATTAGGCATACACTCTGGTAATGAGGATTAGAAATCTCAGCTAACATCTTTTATATATATATATATATATATATATAAGCACATATGAATTTACCCTGCTGAAATTTAAAAGCTTCTAACTTTCTTAAAAAATATTTCCATACGTCCTTCTTGTATGTCTGTTATGTTGTCAAATGACTTGAATAATATTAGTATGGGGGCAGATTCTAACTTTTCATTATTGTTACTTATTTTAAGTCAGCCATCAAAGCATTATTTTAATTGCAAACATATGACAGCACAAAAATTTTGGGTATTTCTTCTCTGCCTGAAATCTTTCTCTCAATAAGCAACCTAGACCAAAATTTTCTCTTGGTGAACTTCCATACTAGATAACTTCTGCAACAGTATCAAAAATGTAAATGTTCTTGAAAAGGGCACAATTAGAATGAATACTTGCCCAGCAGTAAACTGTGGCCATAAATGTCAACTGATATTCAATCCGGCTCGACTGCCAATTTTCCTAGTCATCACGGATTCAACATTTTAGCATTCTACACTATCAGAATTTCTCCTCCTCATATGAATCTATATTCTGTGCATTCTAAATGTATTTTTCGACATATGCCTGTGCCATCAATGTTTCTACGTTTCCACATCTCATTATCCTTACATCAGTTCTTTTAAATTTGTTATTACATATATATATATATACATATATATGCATCATTAGAGAAAACCATCTTGTTAGTAAAGCTTTAACCCCTTAACTGCCACGTGCGTATACATACGCCTTGCTCAGCCGATGCATTAACTGCCCTGGGCATATATATACGCCCTTCCAAACTACTATCATTTGCTTTGCGCTGCTACCCGTGAAATTAATCGCAAAGCTTTGGAATGCAACACCACGATGACCTTCACAAAGTACGCGAAGGAGGATACTATTTCAGAGAAGTGTGGGGAGAAATTGGAGACGTATAAAGACGTAAAATTTCTTTAAATTTTAAATGAAAATATTTTTTCCTGCAAGTAAATTAATTAATGGATTAGTTATTTTGAGGGGGAAAAAACTATGAAAATCTGTGCTTAAATTATTGCAAAAATTTAAAGAAGAAACGTTTTGTCAAAGAACGTTTCTTCTTAACACATGTTCCTTAATTTCCTATACACATCGTGGAAAGGGAAATTCTGGCCGCCAGGTTTCGTCATCAAATCCCTTGGTGAATTTACCCCCCCCCCCCCCGCTTTCTAGCGGTGTAATAGCATTACGTCTGTGGAACCTTTCCTTCTTTACATAGATCTTCTTTGGTTAGAATAACATCCATATATTCTATTTTAACCTCTATGTACGGATTTGGCGACATTATGATGAGCAGTAATTGGGTTATTTTGGTGTTGGAGACAATTTTCAAAATTGTGCCAAGGCCTTACCATATACTACGATTTTACCGCAAAATCTTTTAAACCTTTTTTTCATCTTTTTAATAAATGCCTCATTTGTCATTTTACAGTAAAATAAAAAAATAGTCATCAGTGGTTTAGGCTAACCATTTAATATAATTACATTTACTAAAATACTGTTGATTATTTTAATTCAATTTTTAAGTAATTATCTTTATTTTTGTGTTATTTGTATCATTTAATGATGCTTCTTCCCTCTAAATTTATTTATTATTTGTAAATATATAACTTTCAAATTTTAGGAAATTTTCTCTGGCATAATCCAGAAATTAATTCTAGCAGTATGGTGACATAACATCACGAAATGTAATGCACATATTTTTTGCTTATGTATGCTGCTAAATAAATATCAAACACCTGAATTTATTTTAAAATATCATTAAATAGATTTCTTTCGTTTAGCTGCAAAATGTCTGGAAAAGAAAAGACATTTTTTAATCCAGATTCTAATCACAATTTTCAGTGGAGAAAACAACTCCTATTATAGTTATAATAGTAAAGCATTAATATATATATATAACAGGGTTGCCACTTAAAGAGGAGAATGAAATTCTCTGACTTTTCCAGGTTTTCCAGGTGTGTTTTGAGAAAATTCCAGTCTATCTGCATAGCGCGTGTTGGCTGCGCTGAGAAGTAAATTAATTATGGTACCATTCGAAAACACAAAAATTTGCCAAATGCATATGACTTATTATATATATAATCCTGAAAGCATTACTATTATAGTTATAATAGGAGTTGTTTTCTCCATTGAAGACTGAGATTAGAATCTGCCCAATCTGGATTAAAAAATGAGTTTTATTGCAGACATTTTACAGCTAAACAAAAGAAAGAAATCTATTTTATGATATTTAAAAAAAAAAAAAAAAAAAAAAAAACAGGTATTTTATATTTATTTAGCAGCATACATAAACAAAAATATGCTAGATCTTCTAGATTTAGTTTCAGAATTATGCCAAAGAAATTTGCCAGAAACTTGAAAGTATGTAACTAATAATAAATAAATTTGGAGGAAAGAAGAACATTAAATGATATAAAAACATTAAAATGAAGTTAATTTCTGAAAAACTGAATTACAATAATCAATGCTATTTTGGCGAATCTTAAACGTTAGCCTAGATGACTGATTACTATTTTTTTATTTTACTGCAAAATGAAAAATAAGGAATTTATTAAAATTAAAAAAAAAAAAAAAAAAAAAAAGTTTAAAAGATTTTGCGGTACAATCCTAGTCTTCGCTACAGCCTTTGAACAGTTTCGAAAACTGCCGCCAACACCAAAATGACCAGTTTACTACCTAACACCTTCTTAAACAGAGACTAAGAGACAGGAAGAGGTAACTGTTATAACTGCTCATTATAATGTCTCCAAATCCCATGTGTACTGTACATGGAGATTAGAATAAAAAAAATATGTATTGTTAAGATAAAAAAACTTCTCTGCAACAGGAATGGCTTCGTCCCAACGTAGAGGGAAAATACCTGCGTACGTGCGAAATATCTGTCGCCGAAGCTCGCGAAGTTCGAAGGTCAAGTTTATCAAGAGTACATAAAACGAATATCGTTTTAAATTTCCTTAAACTTTAAAGGAAAAGGAAAATATTTTTTGCGTGAAGTAAATTCAATTAATAGATTTGCTATTTTGAGCAAAAAAAAACAAAAAAAAATACGAAAATCCGAGTATAATTTATTCGCGAATAGTCAAAGAACGTTTCTTCTTAACACATGCTTCCCAAATTTCCTGTACACATCCTGCGGAGGGGGAAATTCTCACAGTCAGGTTCCATCACCAAATTCTTTGGCGAGTTTTTCCCTCCGCTTTCTAGCAGCACTTTAGCAAACTGATTTACATTACGTCTATGGAACCTTTCTTTCTTTACATAGACATTTTTACATTAGAACAGAATACATGGGGGCTATTCTAGCCTCCATGGATTATTAGGATTAAACCGATTTTGTTGTATATGAGAATGGGAAGGTTTTTTTCTTTAGTTCAACATAACCTGCACGTGCGAGTCTTAGGA